GGATTTTCTATGGGTTTTATATTTGGCCAATCAATCCGACCTACCAAATGTCATAAGGATCGGCCGACTATATCCTATAGCCGCCATATAACTGATTGATCAAAAATGCCATAACTTTGGTGTTTGTAAAGTTAGGAAGTTGGGATTTTTTCTGAGTATTAAGAATGCATCATATGAATAATTTTGGAGAATATAATGTACATAATATTCTGCAAGGGTATATCAACTTCGGCTCCGCCCGAAGTTAGCTTTCCTTTCTTGTTTTTATTATAATTTATACAGTCAAATGAAGAAAACATAAAAAAAAAAAAATCTAGTCTTTTTGTATACAATATTGGTTTACCTTGAATCAGACCTTAGGATCTCTAAAAGTCCTAATTATTTTTCGCAGTATGCTTTATCTGCCGGAACCACACACAACTCGTGCGCTAATGATGCCCAACAACAATTGCCGGGAAATGCAAATAAGTCGGGGTCCTGTCGCACACAAATTACTGGTCAGTGGAGAGCCAGTGGAGAATGGTAGATGTTAAATGCAGAATGACCAGCGGAGAGCGGCCACTAAAATGCGCAACTTTGTAAGCCATTTTTGCCATTTCCCAGCTATTTGTCGCATTTCGCTTAGCCATTTATTTATTTGCACTCATTTAAAGTGTAAACTGCATTGTTTTTTTCCACAGCCCCTGTTGTTTCCATCATTGTTATTAAGAACGGCGTAATCATAGCCGTTGGCGCTGCTCTGCTCCTCTTATTTTGTCCCCTTTTTTTTTGAGAAACCCCCAATGGCTGGTATGCTCTAATTAAGTGCATTTACTCTAATGAGCAAAAATGGCAGTAGAAGCAGCAGCAGCAGCAAAAGTGGCTCCATGTCCAGATGCAGTGGCTAAAAACTGTCACAGCTCCGTGAACGTGGCAAACCGTGCGTGAAAAGTGCCCTCCAGCTGGCGAGTTTGGGGCAGCTTTTGTGGTCTCTTTTCTCGGGGTCGACCTCATTTAAGGGCCAAGAACTGAAACCTTTTAGCCGAGCATTGGGGAGATGCAAAATCCCCGCCGTGGCTGCTCGGCATTTTCAGGCATTTGTCTATGCAAAATTTTGTGACGCTCATTAGTGCAATTTGCATGCATAACGGCAAATATGGCCAGCAGCCAGCCAGATGAAGCCTCCGGCCTGTCCAGTTATCCAGCTGTCCGTCTATATATCTATTATATCCACAACAAATACACAAATGCAGGTGCACTTAGCAAAATATTCCCTCATACTCCAGAAGTTACCAAAAAATAAATCATTTCCATATTTCAAATTTTAACTGACTCAATTATATTATTAGTATTACCTTAATCTGAAGCATTATGAATGAGACAAGAATTTGTGGTATGCTTTGAGTGTTGAGCAAACATGGAATCCTTAATTAATTATTAGTCTGGAAAATTCAAGGCATGTATTAACAAATTTTATATCCAAATCGTTATAAACGCTTTTAATATCGCAGTGCTGAGTGACTCGATGCGATGGCCGTTCCTACATTCATCAAATTCAGAGACAGAACAGAGGCATTTGCTCCGTTCATTGTCGAATTCAAATATGTAGACTAGAATTTTTGTATTTGCCCATGCTCGTGTGTTGTGTTGGTGCTGTTCCGGCTGAAAGTGGAAAGGATGCTCCTTGCCTGATTCAGATTCTGATACAGATTCGGCGACACTAAGTAAACAGCAGCGCAGCTGTGCCAAAGGATAACAGCACTCGACTGCAGGCTTTGAAAAATATGCAAATGGCAGCCAACAGACCCCAAAAACTGAAAACCCAGCCCCTCGATCTGTTCGAACTGCCATCACATCCAGATAAAACACAAAACAATCCGAATTAGTAGAAAGCAAAACAAGGCAACGAAAAAAAAAAGAGGAATCGGCAGCAGCACGCAGCACTTTGGCAAAACCAAATTCATTTTCAATTAAGAATTTTTCGGCATATCGACAGAAAATGTCCTATGCCTCCTAATGCCGAGTGCAGGCAATGGAAAAACATTTCAAATGCTAACTAAATAACGCCAACTTCGCACACACATTTGCGCATGTCTGTGCATATTTAGTTTTTCGCAATTTACAGTGCCTGCCACTGCCACTCGCCATTTGGCCATATGGGGTGTCAGAATGTGGTCAAAATGCCAATTGCAAAACAATTGCATTTTGGTTACTTTGCTGTTGAATCCGGAATTTCGATGGCAGCCACCTAACAAACACTGCGACGGCTTCCGTTGACACCAGCCAAAGATAAAGAGTGCAAGAGTGCGGAACACTGGCAGAAATATATTTAATCAAATCGAAAATAATTGGCAATACTAAATCCGTTACAAGATTACAGATTTTGGTAGGATTATTCTGGAAATTTGGATTTTGTAAGAGATTTAGCTCAGCTAACTAGCAGGTAAATAAATAAATTTGTCTGTGTTTTTCTGTATTTCATATCCTAGATAATAATTATATAATTAATGACGAAGACTTGATATATCATGTTTGCATATTGCACTTTTGGAAATTGCCTGTTTGTGTAAAGTTGCATTTTATTTACAATTTCCTTTTTATGGCCAGACCTTAAATAACCATCTTTATTCGTATAATTGATAGAAATTCGATCATTTTTCTGGGTGCACGCCCATCTACATCCTATGACAATTAAACTCTAGATTTTAAGTTAAAAGCAAAATATTGTAGCAGACATGCCAGCCATCCTCACCAGCTCCATTGCTCTACGGCGTGAAATTTCAACTGGATTTTCTTTGGCTCCCACATCGTCTGACGGGGCCATTCTATAAATTGTTAGACGACAACCAGTTCCGTCATATTCACACACAGCCGAATGTGTGCGGCCAACAAAAACCCAAAAAGCAATTAAATTGTACACTCGGCAGTGGCAGCAGGCAAAAGCCAAGCAAATCAACAACAACTATTACCAAACCGTCGACAAAAGACACCAAAGGCATCATGCAACAATATTATAACATTCGCCAACTGCAAAAAATACATCAACTAGACACATACACATACGGGCCCACAGAAAATGGCAAAGTTTTTTATTTGGGGAGAAATTTGTGTGTGTGACAGCCTGACATGCAAATACGTTTAATTTCGAAAACTAAACTAATAAATGCTTCGCTGCAGTGGCTTTTCTGCAACTGAAATTTCCTTTTTTTTACGGTGCACAAAAAAAATGCTGTAAAAACATAAACAAATAGGCAATAAAACTGTTTTTTTTTTACTTTTGCCACTAATGCTTGTGGCATACGAATTGCTAAGAAAAAAACATAATTTAAATCGACTCTTAGATGCCTGATGCCATAAAAAAGGTCTTTGAACAGTATAGAAAAAATATAAAACATTAATTATAATCGCCATTATATTAGCTTATTTAATCGCTATATTGGCATATTTTTTCTGGGAATTAACTAAATAAATTTCCATATGTAGACATTAAAATGATAAATGTTACACTTTCCTTTATTTATCAAGGGGAAAAAAAATGTTAGTTTTTTAAAATTGTATTAAAAAGTATTGAGCCATTATTAATGAAAAGTGTTCCGCTCTGAACTTAATTATTGGGATTGTTATTAAAACCATTCCAATAATAATTTATGAAACAACCAAAGTAAACCAATAATTCTAATGTTTTACCTGAAAACCAATATTTCTTTTACGAAAATTAAAACTGAATCAAATAAGAAAAGGACATCAGGCCTATTAAACACAAATAATTTATTTCTAACAAATAAACCATAGGTTTTCATGTTGATATTACGTCCATCACAATGTATTTTTAGTGCATTTCAATGATTTTTAGAAATATAAATTCTGTGATTTCAAGAGTCTTGTTGGAGTTTTGCATTGCAAGTACCAAAGGACCATTCAGTGAAGGGCGAGTTGAATCAAAAAGCAATTTATAGAGCCTCCACCAACGGGTGACAACGATGAGTTTTCAAACGAAAAATGTTCGAAAATTGCCACCCAGTGAATCGAGGAATATTTCAACACCCGCTGATAAATATCTCCCTTCGTAAACTACATGCAAAATCGGACGTGACCCGGACATTCCTGAACAACAATACTCGCGGGCACTGTGAACTCACAGTCGCACATAGAATCTCTCTATCCGGCCGTTAAAAACGGCAACAAAAGAAATCGTACATTTCAACGTTTTGAATTTGTAAAAGGATATTTTTTTTACATTATAATAAGAAATGAGGTTGAAGACGCGCCTCGCATTTTTTCTGCTTGCACTCGGCAAACCCCTCTATTTCCTTCCAGTTTTCCAACTTCCTTTAAAATGCAGAACAGCTGAAAAATCATATAAACACAAATAATAAAATCGACAATTTGGCAAGAGCCGCACGCACACACGCACAGCCAGACAAATTTATGTGTGTGTGTTTGTGTGTGTGAGCCTGCAATGAGCACATAACCGCAAATGTACTGGCAACAAAACGTGCCGCGATTCCACAAAAAGACCAATGGGAATCCTCAAAGGAAAATGGGTTAAACTTTCCACTCACACAGAGAACTTTTCGCGTAATCGACTCGACGACGCCGCTGTCATGGCCTGAATCCCATTGGCCAGTAAATCTGGCTTGAATCCTAACTAGTCTATTGAAAGTTATTTTTTCTTGGAAGCTGATTTTCAGAGATTTCATTTTCAGCTTAAATCTGTATTTAATCTTATGAATAAGATAATTTCAGATGTAAGAATAACCCATGAAAAAAAAGTAGGTTTAATAAAATCTAAAAATCTTGAAAATTAATCGTACACCACCAGTTCTATTTAATAAAAACACTCTCTATAACATTTGAAAACAAATTATAATAAACTGTTTTATTAACAATATACCTATATACCTGAATTTTAAGGTAATGCAAATATTTTTGTAAATCACTGTTGACTTCTCTCAAGAAACGAATCAATTTCAAGGCATTTGTAGAAAACGTTTTAGAAATATTTACCCTCTATCAACGTCATGTCATCAAGGTGGGTGATCATAACTTCGCTGTTTCTGCTAATCTCTTCAAATAAAAGTGATGAAGTGGATGAGGAACCCGCTCCAAGGATTCACCCCAGGATATACGGTGGAAGAGAGACTAGCAACAGCGAAATTGGCGGAGTCGGTGTGCAGATCTTTTATAAAACCAAACTCTTGTGCTCGGGAACACTTATCACATCGCGGCATTTTCTCGCGTCAGCCCATTGTTTTGAGAACATGAACCTGAATAAATTTCACGTGATCGCTGGACATACCCGGGAATTTAATCGCCATGACACAAATGCCCAGAACTATATTCTCCAGTTGCGGTTGCATCCGGAGTACAACAAAGAGAAGTTCATTGCCGACATCGCAGTGGGCAAGAGCACATATCCCCTGGAGGGCAAATACATTGGGTATGCCAAGATCTGCCGGACGCGTTTGCATCCCGAGGATAAAGTCACCGTGGCCGGTTTTGGTTCCAGTGACAGTTTCTTGAGTGCCGGCTCGCGGAAAACTCTGCGCTCTATGAAAGTTGGAATCGTGGACAGACATGTTTGCCAGAAGCAACTGCGCATATTCATTCCGTCGAATGTATTGTGTGCACGTGCCTATAATCATGAAACTGTCTGCACTGGCGACTCCGGCGGACCACTCATGTTCCAGAATGAGGTCTGCGGCCTCAGTACGTGGACTTATAAATGCGGCAACAGCAGGAAGCCCGACATCTACATGAGTGTACGATACTACGCTAAATTTATCAACAAGACTATAAATGCAATGGGCTTTTAAAAAACACATTTATATATTGTGTTTAAATGTTTTAACTCTTCATAATACAGTTTAATTCGCCAGCCTTTTCGTTTAAACTGTACTACAAACAAGATGATCCCATTTAACCCTTAATTCGTAAATTAAATTGCAATCAAAAATTCCTTAAATTGAATATGATCTTTGTCGAGTGTAACTCTAAAAATAAACTTGAATTTGAAACCATATAAGCTTTATTGTCTACTGGCCTCTCAAATAAGTTGTTGTTCATTTACTGAGTTAGCTGACCTAGTTATTTTGCTCTTGAACTGTTCTAAACCGAAGCGCTTCCATATCATCATGTAGATTTCGCTGAGTTAAATTAAGTATTTATGATTCATTAAATTACTCAACTATGATGATAAAATTATAGATAGTTTGAATGGCAGCGACACGCCAAGTAACCTTTTATTGTAGAAGAACTAAATTATTATATTTCTCAAGAATTAGTTTAGTACATAACGCTTGATTTGTATATTTTATGCATGATTTTTAAATAGTATTGTAATTCTAGAAGAAGAATTGATTTTCTGCCAAGTTTTACATGGTTGTCAAGCGGAATTTTTGTAATTCATCATGACACTAGTAGATATAATGCAATTCTACAAATTCAGGTAGTAGAAGAAAGGTGTAGAATGTAGAAAGTGCCACTCTTTGCACCTCACGTGCTCATCTTATTCTTCAACGCTCACTTTATATGGTTTTTATTCTCAGATTTTCTCAAACGCTCAGCGAAGCGTAAGATGAGAGAAAAGGTGCAGCGTTGGCGCCTCCGCCGGTGAGAAAAAAAGGGGAAAATGCGGGAAAAGCGGGAGGCAACACAAAACATGCTGCCAGTGAAAATATCTCGCTGTGTCACACAGTTTCACTCTGCTTAGCGGTCGCCGGCAGCGGATTCAACTAATGCAACCTCTGCTCTTTGCCGCTCGCAATCCGCGCTCTTTACACTTAAAGAAATCTGCGGAGTATGCTCTCTTATTTACACATTAATCCAAAAATATATCTCATATGTATATAATAAACATGTGTAATATTAATGCTAAATAAACTTAACTTTATTTATTTATTTTAAAAATTCATTGCATAAACCCTTTTTTCTTTTGGTAAACAAGATAACCTGTTTATAAAAAAAAACCCGTTTTAAGAAAATACCTTAGAACTTCACATACAGCAGAGTTCAAAAAGTTAGCAATATAAGCAGTAAAAAGAATTTTTGGCAATTTAATAATAATTGTTTTCTATTGTTGAAAGTTTTTAAACTTCTCCATTCCAAGCTTATTTATAAACTTTCTAATGAAAAGTACTTAGAATTCAGTTTTTGTAATTTGTATTTTATTTTAGTCCCAAATTTAACATCAAAGTATGATGCAGGCTGAAAAACTTTTGGAAAGTACATTAGAAAATTGTGTATTTTTCCTAAGTGAGGGAACTAATGCCGCCCCCTTGGGCCACGGAGCACTAATTCCCCCAGCGGGTCGCTCGCCGGCCAGTCAGTTCACATTCAGTTCTCAAAGCGAGCGCGCGTCGATCGTTCCGAATTCCGTGGTACCGTTCTGAACCGCTCCCGAATCGCTCTTCCAACTCTTCCCCGGATTTATTTGAGTGCGTGTGCCGATTGTGATTCAGATTGATATAGCCACCGATAATTGCTGATAGTGCGTGAGTGCGTCAGTGTGTTCAATTGAGTTAGATTCGACTGAAGGGGCATCCAAATCAGCCACAAAATGAGGGAAATCGTGCATCTGCAGGCGGGCCAGTGCGGCAACCAGATCGGTTCGAAGGTGCGTATAATTGATATTCCATAGGTGCGTCGAACTACACACCTTTGCTCTATTTTCTCGCCATTTTTCGCTATCCTAACCTCACATGTTTAATTATAAAACAGAGTGGAAAAGAGTACCGACTATAAATCGTTCTTGGCGCGCTCTTTTTCTTTGGCTCTCTACTCTCTCCTCTCTCTTTCTGTTATTTTCCTCGTTTTGTTTTTAGTGGGAAGCAATTAAAATGGGTGGCAGTGGGGAGGTGGGGGGGGTTGGAAAAGATTATTCCGTTAGTTCGGGAAACTATAGAACTGCAAAAAACATTAAAGAAACCTGGTGAGCTTGGCAGTTATCTTATCTATCGCTCGCAAGATACGAATATCAACCGGCTCGAAGTATCACATTTAAATTACCTTGGACTCTGAGCATATCACAGTCAATTAAAGCCAGAAATCCGCTCGCAAACTAAGCAAAAACCACCTCAGTCAGGTGTAAACAATTAGCTCGTCGCTTAGTAAAGAGCTTGTGATCAGCCGGCAAACCAAACTTACACCGAAACCGAAACAGAAGGTTTATAAAATTACCTTTTTTTTTTAAAAATACCACTATTTACCACCATTTCTAAATACCTAATAAATATGTGTATCTGTTTATTTTTTAATTAAAAACTAACTTTTTAGCATATTTTAGATACTTTGTTATATTTTTTCTGCATTGAAATCCATTTTGTAATGATCGATTTATCATTTTTTTGGTACATGATTATGAATTTCTTAAAGAAATCTGTCTTGAACTCCTTGTATTGGTTGGTACCTTAAGATAGAACCAGTTTTCTCAAATTTATTTTCTAATATTTACCTATTTTATCATTTGCATTTTTTTCTGTGCATCTAAGGGCTAGGCTTTCAAGAAATCCGATATGCGAACCAAGTATATTTAGCGGGAAGATTTAGAAGACGCTTATAGTTTCGTTGACTGTGGAAAGTATTTCGAAACTAGCTCGAAGGTTCTTTGAAGCTTCCGTCTTTGGGGCATACATTGTTTCACAACTGGTTTCGGATACTAGTACTTTTCATGGGTTTTTTTATTATGTTTGCCCTCATACAGTTGACTGATCTTACAGTCATAAAGAACCCGTCCCTCAGAAGGTTTCTTTTGAAGCATTTTTAATTACGGCAGAGGGCTGGTAAATAGTATCTGTATCTTGAACCGATATATCTGACTCACGACTGACTATGACATACTGGGGGGCTTATGTGTGTTTCCCGCTATCGGCGGCGTCTAATCAGTGAGCTTGTTTACAGATCTTTAAACATAAATACTCGACAAAAAAAAAACTGATATGGGAACCGAAAATAGCAATTACATAGTGCGTTCTGGAATTTTCAATAGAACGGGGGAAGCATGTTTGTGGGCAATTAGAAAAGCTGAAATGAAAAAATCCCTGTAACTCCGGGTGGATGCCCATTCTAAGCTAATTCAGCGCATTAACATTAACTCGCACAATTTGCCGCGTCATGAAAATCCAGCTACAAAAAGTCGTTGACGTTTGACACAGTTCTTTTTGTATTTTTATGTTTTTGTGTCTTTTTCCCGGCGTTTCCCAGCGCATTTTTCTCCGACCGTTTCTCTTTTCTCCCTCTTTTACACGCTTTTCCACTTGAGTTTTATGTAAACACATCGCCACATATTTTAAAGCACTTTTTTGCGTGTTTTTGCCCAGCGCCTTTTCAGTTAATTAGAACGCGCTTTTCCGGGATAAAACCTGACGATCCCATCCGATTTTATGCACCCCATTACGCCCCCGAATCAAAGCATTATTTTTACATCCATATTTTGCGCCATTGTTGCGGCCTTTGTGGATCTAAAAAAAAATGAGATTATTTATGCAATTTGCCGCTTATCGAATCTTTATAGATTGCATAAAACTTATTTGTTGGTGCATTAAATTTGAATATAATAATAGCGAGCATATTTTGTTGCTTGTCCTATTCATGCGCTTTTTTACACAGCCTGATTTTGTTCCTTAATTGAATGTCCTTTACTGATTAATTGGCTGTCAGGATGAATTATTGTTGCAGCCCAGAATAAACAAATAATAAATATGCAAAACTGCCTACGTGGCAAAATTGTATGCACAATGGCGTAAATGGTGAATGCGACTTTTAAATAAATTTTCAAAACTAATTGCTCCGCTGATAAAGGCCAATAAGCAAATAAAAAAAAGCCTAACAGATTGATTACACATTAAAAGCAGAGCTTATTCACACATGAATGGGCTGCCGCAAAACAGAAAGGATTGTAATTTTAAAAACAGAGCTTAACAAATGAAAATCCCGGCAGCATATGTAGGTTTATTTAGGACATGTTTTGCAAACTTAATATTTTCATTGAATTATGTTTAATTCGATTTTAAAGGATACTGCTATTTAATCCATTTTCTTGGCTTCAGTTTAATTTTGCAAAATTCCTTGCAAAACGTCTTCCGGCTTTTCTTTGCCAACACCCGAAATTGATCACATATGTACACGCCAAGCAAAGGCATCTATCCAAGGATATTTTGGCCTGCAGCGAGAATTCGTTTTCTTCCTTCGTTTTTTTTTTTGTTCTTCATTATTTACATAAACCTAATTTTCCCTAAATCATTTTGTGAACAATAACAAGGAAAATCTATTTACGGCATGGCATAAAGACGATGGAAAAGCGTTGAGCCAGCGTGGCGGGGAAAGTGCGGATGAAATTTATAGACGAGCACGGCGAACGGAGAGCGGAGAAAGCCAGGCAACAGACAATAAAATTAAAGAGTGGAATAAGCCGGGCTGCAACGGCTCCTTTGAGCCCTAGTGTGCAGTCGCATGCCCGTTTATTCCGCCCCAGGATACATTTGTTTAGCCCATAATGGCAGGGCATCATCGAGCAGCGCCAAAATAATGCACAAAATTGAATTATCGATGGCGTTCGCTAGCTGGCAGCCGTAATTTCTTTATGGTTACCCGATATCGAGCTGGGTAACTGGGGAATCGGTCGGATTACATTATGGCCCGGCTTGGCACGTCATAGGTAATGCCCTTGCTCGTATGCAAATGCAATTTTCATGTGGCATTGCATTTACTCGTACTGTTCGTTGCTGATGGGTGGAGCTGGAAAAACAAGCTATTGATAACTTAGTTGGCATCTTCACTTCAATTCACCGCGTTGCCAGGGATCATGTAGTGATGAACACTTGGAAATTTAATTTCGATTATTGCTTAAAATATGGTAATCACTTAAAGCTGTCTTTAGCCTGTTTCTGGGACTAACTAAATTATGATGATATTGTTATTGATTAAAATACTGTGGAGACAATGATTTGGTAAAATTAAGTTGAATATTTTAAGCGAAGGTTTCTTTTGTTGTTACTCAATTTCCATGTTATTTTTTTCAATAGCCAATAACTACATTTATTGCATTATTATTTTGACTGTCGATTTCAATGTTATGGAAAATTAAAGGGACATGTATCGAGAATTTTCTGTATTTTTCAGTATTGCTTAGCTCCCGCATCGCACATCATTTAATTCCATTTCTGCACCTGCTCCTTTTTATTTTCTTGCAAGTGCAAATTGGCCAAAGATGAGATCTCAAGTAACCTAATTGAATGCGCCTATTCCATTTGCTGTGTTGGATAATGAGAATGCACATATGTGGTCCGGTTCTACAGCGATTGCTGAACAACCTCAACGCAAGTGGGTATGGTCAACAATTGCCTTAGCATGCAATAAGGCATGAGCTGAAAGGGTAAAATATAGGGAGAAAAGGGTATCGAATGGGGAGAAATATCCCATTTTTTTCGCTGGCGAAATATTTTTCAATTTACATAAAAATGCGTTTATGCATACCAAATGAGCCGCATACACATACACCGCATTCAAACACGCCCCTTTTGCAGCTGGTAGCTCCCAGCGTCCTTGCGCCTAGCAGTATGCAATAGAAATCGGGAGTGGAGAAGGGGGCGTGGCAGGTGGAAGGGCACAACCGCCGCTCCGCTGCACAAACTGATTATAAATAAACAAAAGGGAATTTTTATAAATATTTTCCTCATACCACACGCAGCCACACTCGCCAAATTTTTCGTAGCTGCTGGCTTGATGGAATATAAAAACAAGAGAGAACGCTATAGTCGGGTGCCCCGATTATCAGATACCCGTTACTCAGGTAAAGGGAGTCCGAGGGAGATGGAGATAGAAACTTTGATCACGCATAACTTTTTAAAGAAAGGTCCGATTTGAAAAATTTCTTCTACATTTCGATAGGTATTGATAAACACAATAAAACTGCATTTTTACTTTTCCGAAATATTAAAATTTTTAAAATCGTATATAAGCGATTGTGGGCGTTAAAGGGGGCGTGGCACCTCTTTGAAACAAACTTGCGCTGCGTAGGAACTCCTGGAATCTGCATGCAAAATGCCAATCTTCTAGCTTTTATAGTTTCCGAGATCTCAGCGTTCATACGGACAGACAGACGGACAGACGGACAGACGGACAGACGGACAGACAGACGGACAGACGGACATGGCTATATCGACTCGGCTAGTGACCCTGATCAAGAATATATATACTTTATAGGGTCGGAAACGCTTCCTTCTAGCTGTTACATACTTTTGCACGAATACAATATACCCTTTTACTCTACGAGTAACGGGTATAATTACTTATTTATGTATATATTTTTGCTCCGTTACACATTGCTTTGAACATGTGCATGCAAATTGATGAACAAAAGGGAAAATCACAAAAAAAGGAACTGCGCATAGATATTAGGAAAACGTGAGGAGAAAATGCGGCAGAGAGGAAAAGCATAACATTATTATTTTCATATTGTCATCTTATCTTACCCTTTTTTTACCTAACGAATACATTTGCGTATCTGCTAGTAAAAGTAATTGAGCCTACTAAACTTAAGCTGATCAAAAATGTTATAAATCTTAAAGTTAAACCTTTCTTACTAGTGTGGAAAGTTATATTTATGGAAAAGAAATC